GCAGTCTGAAAATAAAACTGATGCATAAAACTCGGTCTTATATAACACTCTCTAGAATTGCTTCAACATTTGTTTGTTCTAGAACTCTGTGGCTAATTACAATTTTTTCTGTTAATAACAGAAGTTCACAAAGTACAGGTCACAGGGCAAATCTGGCCTGCTGCCTGTTTTTATAAATAAAGTATTATCGGAAGACAGCCATTTGTGAATTTCTTCTGACTGCTTTTGACTTAAAACAGCTGATTTGAGTAGTTGTGGCAGAGCTCATAGGGCCCTCAAAACCTAAAATATGTACTATGTGGCCATTTACAGCAAAAGGTTTTTAACTCCTACCTAGAGCATCCCATAACATGACACAAGCTTCCTGAAGATGCTCATCTAAATGAAGGCATAAGGGGGGTGAACATAATTGTGCTACAAAATATGAATGAGTGTATCAGTGTGGATAAAACTCAAACCAAAGTAAACTTTGTTGTGAGCCCAGCCAAGCAAAGATCCGAAAGCCTGCTGGGTCACTACTGTCTAACCACCGGAGACACTGACCATATTATGGGGTGTGCCCACAGATATCCCAGTCCATCGGCCCCACAGCTGTAGGAGGTTTAATCCTCTGTCCATCTACATGGTTGTCAAGCAGCATCAGCCAAGACCAGATCACACCACTGAGGAGATGCTCCTTGGGCTGCAGCAGGAACCCCGACATCATGAGCATCATTTTTCGCCAAGTCCCACCCAAGCTGGTGAGTGACGGTCCTTTCTGCACCATTACCATCAGGATAAATGTTGACCAGGACGGAGAGATATCATTTAGATTTGTATTTTCAGAGAAGGTGGAATATTTAATAAATAGAAAAGAAATGTGACTTAGCTCAGAATAGAGGTGTAGACTGATAGGGAGCTCCAGTTTTGTGTGGAGCTGGTATCAGATCTTAGAGGCTTGTTTTGAAGGGACATGCAAGGTGACTCAACATTCCCGCTCCCTGAGCACTGAGGAGTTTTCTGGAACGTGGGATTTCCATGCTAGAGCTAGGCAAGTTCTGGGCAAACCAAGAAAAATTAATTACCCTGGGGCCATCGCTCTTCAAAGGAAAGTTGTGGAGCAGAGTGAGGTCAGCATCAGGGCGGTGTGACCTGTTCCTCCCCCCAACCCTTTTTATTTACAACTAACTGGGCATCCGAACCGAACAAAAGTGCCTCCGCACAGAACACCAGGACGCCTGGGAGATGCACCCACGTGCGCATCCGAAAGTGGGTCGGGAGGACCTCCGAGGACGCTGTGTACCGGACAGAGTCTGAGGACGGCCCACCCCCACTTGCTGCTGTCCGGAAAGAGGGAATCTAGAGAGTACGCAGCTGGGCGCTCTCGGGAAATAGAGAATTTGGGGAGGACCTGCCCGCCTGCTGGGAGAAACTGACAAGTCTTTAGAGCGAGACACAGACAATTCTGCAGTCAGAGGAAAGGGAGGAACGGCTGAGGCAGCCCCGCCCCCGAGAGCCAACATGGCACCATGCTGGGATCGTGCTGGTGGCCGCGCAGCCGCCACGACAGTGGCTACCGGTCAGGCGAAGGAGGCGGCAAGTCAAAGTGTGGAGCGTGGACAGCGCGGTAAGAGTAACCAAAAACTTGTGCTATAGCACCACCTCCTGGACATGAGAAGAAAAGCTTCTGATTGCCCGCCTGTTGAACTGTTAGAATCCAAATAAGTGCAGCCTGCCATAGAAAGGAGTTCTAAATGTGACAGCAGAAGCACATTTCATGAAACACTATGAAAAGTCACAGTAATATGGTGTCACAAAAAGAAGATGACAATTCTTCAGCTACTGAATTCAAGGACATCGGATATTGCAATCTAATCGATAAAGAATTCAAAATTGTTATGGAGAAGAAACTGGTGGTTGCCAGAGGGAAGGGAGGTGGGGATGGGCAAAATAGGTAAAGGGGAGTACAAGATGCAGGCTTCCAGTTATGGAATGGATAGGCCATGGGAATAAAAGGCACAGCATAGGAAATAGAGTCAATGATATCGTAATAGCGTTGTATGGTAACGATGGTGGCTAGACTTCTGAACGCAGAGTAACTCACAGAGATGTTGAAACACGATGTTGTACATTCGGCACTAATGTAACATTGTGTGTCAACTACTACTCAGATAAAAATTTTTAAAACAAAAAACAAAAATCCTCAAGTAGCTGTTAGGAACAAATTCAATAAACTATAGCAAATGCAGAATGGCAATTAATTCAATAAGCCCAAGAATAAAATTAATGAACAGAAGGACTACTTTACCAAAGAGATTGAAGTTTTTTTTTTTTTAAAAAAACCATGAAACAGGGTCGCCTGGGTGGCTCAGTGGGTTAAGCCTCTGCCTTCGGCTCAGGTCATGATCTCAGGGTTCTGGGATTGAGCCCCGCATCGGGCTCTCTGCTCAGCGGGGAGCCTGCTTCCCCCTCTCTCTGCCTGCCTCTCTGCCTACTTGTGATCTCTCTCTGTCAAATAAATAAATAAAAATCTTTTAAAAAAACATGAAACAAATTATGGAACTGAAGGAGTCAATAGATAAGACGAAGAATGCATTAGAAAGCTTTGGTAATAGGGCAGATCAGATGAAAAAAAAAGAGAATAAACAACCTAGAGGATAGGAATTTAGAAATTATTCAGGTGGAAAAGGAGAGAGAATTACAATTTTTAAAAAGTGAAGAAATCCTACGAGAACCATTAGACTCTTAAGAGAGTCAATCTAAGAGTAAAGGGTAACTAGTTAATAATACTCTATTGCATGTTTGAAAGTGGCTTAAAGAGTAAATCTTCAAAGTCCTCATCACAAGAAAAAAAAACTTTTGTAACTATGTATGGGGTAGAATGTTAACTAGACTTTTTGTGGTGATCATTTCACAATATGTACAAATATCAAATCATTATGTCGTATATCTGAAACTAATAGAATGTTATATGTCAATTATAACTTGATAACAAATTTAAAAATAAAAAACAAGTAAAATCATGAATGATGGTATTAGATAAACCCAATTCATATTTAAGTTTTCTTATAAAAACACCCAATTTAGCTAGCTATTTAATTGCCTGAGATGACATGTAAGAGAAAACAAATATATATAATTATATGTTTACAGTTATATATTTAATATCATTATAGCATGTTAAAACCTTGCAGTCCTCGGGCTCCCTGGGTGGCTCAGTTGTTCAGCATCTGCCTTCGGCTCAGGTCATGATCCCAGGGTCCTGGGATCAAGCCCCACATCAGGCTGCCTGCTCAGCAGGAAGCCTACTTCTTCCTCTCCCATTCCCCCTGTTTATGTTCCCTCTCTCTCAAATAAATAAATAAAATCTTAAAAAACAAACAAACAAAAACCTTGCAGTCCTTTCCTAATCCATATCATTAATGGGAGATAAATTACAATTAATTTAGTGTTGACAGTTTAGCAATCTGGATGACTATGTTTCTAGTAATGGGGAACTGGAGGAGCAACTGTAGGTATTTACTAATTTTACTTACATTTCCAGGAAAGAAGAAGCAGAGGCTCTTTATATGCTCCACTTTCTGTATTGACCATGGAGAGAGAAGTGTGAGTAAGTGAAAATATAGCGTTTCACACCTCTCAATCAAATTGTCATGCACAGATAGGACACTTTTGGATGTGACATTAAAGACTACATCTAATGGACATAATGATGGCCCCATCTTACAGGGTTACCTGAGGACTATATAAGATAATGTGAGGAAAATACTTATTGGAGGCGTAAGTATTCAACAGATGCTAGCTAATAGGGTTATTAATCATAATCATTAAAGCACCTCTAACATAATACCAAGTTATCACACTATTTGTTAACAACAGTCTTGGGAAAGTTACCACAATTTTTCTGAGTTTTCTTTCCCATCTATAAAATGAGACTAATGACTCCTACTCTCAAGAATTGCTGAGGGGATAATATTGTTTAAAATTATGAAATTCTTATTTATTTATTTAAGATACAGCTGACATATAACCTTATGTTAGTTTCAGGTATATAATATAATGATTTAGTATTTGCATATATAGTGAAATTATCAGCACAATAATTCTAGTTAACATCCATCAAACACGTTACAAGTTTTTTTCCTTGTGATAACTCTGAAGATTTACTCTTCTAGCAACTTTCAAATATATAATACAGTATTAACTGATTTCATCATCTGTACATCACATCCCCAGGGCTTATTTATTTTATACGAAATTCTTAATATCAGCCTGGCACATAGTAAGCACCTATACATCCATTGATCCAACAATCCAAACATCCATCTATCTACCCACTAAGCAAACATTTATTGAGCACATGCAAAGTGTTTTTGTGCTATTACGCTAAGTGTTAGTCAGTCATTGTAGATAAATCATAGTCCTTAATTTCATAGACTTCATTTCCTGTTACACTGTAAACAAAATGTGGATTTTGACTTAAACGTATGACTTTATTATGGTAGATAAATCAAGGTTTTTATTTACAAGTTGGGAATGATAACAAATGAGAGATCGTGCGTGAATGGGAAGACTTGTGTACTATGGCAAAGGAGCTCAAAAATAAAGAGATATCATCTAGCAGAGTACTGATCAGTATATTAATAAACTCATCCTCTAAGGGGTGCCTGGATGGCTCAGTAGGTTAAGCATCTGACTCTTGATTTTGGCTCAGGTCATGATCTCAGGGTAGTGGGATCGAACTCCACGTCGGGCTCCGTGCCCAGCAGGGAGTCTGCTGGACATTCTCTCTCTCTCTTCCCCTCCACCTGCTGGCATGCACACACACTCTCTCTCTCAAACAAAAAACCCTTTAAATAAATAAATAAATTCATCCTCTAAGAAAAATGCACTGTAGAGGTACAGTAAACAAAATGAGGACTGAGACATAAGTGTTGAGTAAACAGGAAAATATGGGATGATTTTTTTTCTTTTGATGAAAATGAAACTTCAGTGGCAGCTAAAGTAAAGACCCACTATAACTGTCTCGTAAGTTTCTCTGTCAAGAGCTGGCCATTCTCAGGAGAACTGTGAACTTCTCACTTGAGAAGTAAGGGTTAAGGAACCCAGGAAGCCATCAGGGATGATGAGCTCCAGGCGAGAGCTCAATCAGGCATGGAGGCTACCTGGAACAAAAGAAGTCAAATCCACCCTTCACTACAAAAAGCAAGCACAGAGTCCTCAACGGGAGACAAAGCAAAACAGTCAAGAGGCAAGTGTATTTAGGAATGGAAGGTAAGCAAAGATATTAAGGTTAAGGTCAAGAGAAAAATGCCTAAAGCTATTTCTGTAAACAGGATCAGGATGCTTAAAGCTTATAATTAGGTGTTGGCTTGACTTAACCGGAATAAAGGTTTTTCCCTGGTGATTCAGTTACTAGATCAATGTGTGTGTAAATTACTCGTGAATAAATACATGGAATTGTTCCCCTGTGTGAGAACTTCCTAAGTTATAATATCATTAGATTTCTTCTCTCTAGGAGTGTGGTCTCCCAAAGTGCTGGGCCTCCTGCTCCGCTTCTGGAAAAACAATTCATTGCTTTAAAATAGAAAACTTGAGTCCTGAGAATTACACAGGCCTTGAATCTAGTCCTTTGCTGGGAGGAAGTATAGATCTGAGGTGTCTTCATGTTCCTCCATACAATCCATTTGTCAACCCTGCGTACTCTGGAGAAGCCAAGTGAGTGCTGTCACTTATTCTGGCAACACTTCAGAGTGGAGCCCCAGTCTATACATCAGGACATCACCATCATCGCCGTCATCCTTGTTGTTGTCATCGTCATCTCCATCCCTTGTAATGATATTTCTTTACAGGTGACAATTTTTTTTTAAATAACTAAATATAGTGTGTGGATGCATTCAGTGGTGCAAACCTTGGGCCTCTGGACTGATGAGGATGTTTGATGGTCTCTTTCAGAACATTCTTTATGGGGAGTTTGAAATTCTTGGAATGCCTTAACAATCACACAAATCATAAAAGAAGCAAATTTTTAAAAATTCTGCCATAGAGGCACAAGCATTATCCCACTGTCTTAACTGGTAAAATGAGGCTCAGTGAGCCTATGTGGTCTAAAGACACCTAGTTTACTAGGTAAAAGAGAGGAACTTGAATGCAGCTGAATTTCCAAATCTTTGCATTCTACTGCAAATGCAGAGTCCACATCTTAATTCATGTAGCTGGAAAGTTAAGTTGTGACAGGGATATTTGCCCAGGTGACCTGAAATGAAGGTGAGCAATATCTATTGACATAGATATGTGGTTTTTATCTAGGCATTTGGCAAGGTCGCTGTTGGCAATACCAGCATTCTGGACACACAGGCTGTATGATATTTGGAGAATAACATTGCCGAAGGACACTCATGAACAGACTGGTGCTCAAATGAAAACTTTTGGAAGGGCAGAGACCTTGAACTTCCGTTCTGTTGGACAACTTGAATAAAGGTACAGTGGTCATTTTTAGGATCTAAAAAGTTCTGAAAAACCCTGAAGCAAAATAAAATTTAGTGAAGATCAATGCACAGGTCTTCTTCTCTTGGTTCCAAAAGCACAGATGGGAGGAGATATGGAGGCAATTCTTTTTTAAAAAGCACCACATAAAGAGATATCATTTCATAGGTCTGAGCACACCGAAGGCATATGCTACAGTTCTGGATGAACCCCTAAGAAGAAAGAATTGAATAAACTGAAGGATATTGAAAGCAGAGAGGCCAGCAGGGTGGAGGAACTCAGAGCCACACCACACAAGAACATTTTTTTAACAGATCACAGCCCCAGGCTTGGAGAAGAGAAGATTCCAACTGGACAAGGCAAATGTCACCAGGTACTTGGAGGGCTACTGGGTAGGAAAGGGATGAAACGTTTTCTCTGTGGCCATAAGGGGGGGGGAATTCAAGATGTGGGTAGATAGTAGGGTAAGACATTTCAGCTTGTAAGCAGTGAATCATTTTAAATGTCAGTACTGTCACAAGAGGAGCAGGCTGACTGGATGATTACTTGGAAGGATGTTTCCAGTAACAGTGGGTTATCTTCAAACACTGCGATTCTGAGCTTCACAGATCCTTCTCCTGCTCTTTAAATATTTGACATGATGTCATCCCCAGCATCATTTTTACACAGGGTCCCAATATCGGAAATCATTCCTTTTATGTGCTTAAGAAGATTCTGAGTGCCTGCAGCAGAGTTCAAGTAGAGTTTTCTTTGCATATTGTTACAATAGGTAAGAGCTGGAGGCTCACAAATGCCACATGCAAGTTTGTTCTAAACGAGCTCCCAAAATGGATATGAAGCTGATTGTTTCGGCACTTATTTGACTGGGGATGAAGCCCTGGCCAAGCATATTTCAGAGTAAGGAAGAGAATGTGTTAGCATCAAACCTAGGAAAAGGAGCAGTAGCAGGCAAGTAATTTGGAAAAGAGAACATTCCATTTAAAGCCTCAAGGGAGAAAGGAGAATGTTGGCTGAAGTCTTACTTGGAAACAATAGAACTGTGAAAATAATTAGTGTTAAACAACTTATAGCACTGCATTTCCAGCATGGGTCCTTTTTAAAAACAAACTTTTCTTGTTTTAGTATAAGCTATAGACAGAAAAGTGCAAAAATTATAAGGGTAAAACCAGATGAATTACCACAAAGCTGGCACATTTGAGTAACCGCCACCCAGATCAAGAGATAGCACAGAAGTCCTCCTTCTTTCAGTCACCGCTCCTCCTTGTGACTTCCTATAACAGTTTTGTCAGTATTTAAATTTTATATAAAATGTAATCACTCATTGACTTCTCTGTGTCTGGCTTCTTTATATTAATACAGTGTTGTGCTCGCTTTGGCAGCACACATACTAAACTTGGAATGATATATTAATACAATGTTTGCAAAATTCATCCATGTTCTTGCATGTAGCATTACTTCATTCATTTTCATGGCAAGAGCAATCCTATACATTCCACATTTTTGCTTTTGTAATGTGTTTATTTTTGATTGACCTCTGGGATGGTCCTATTTGGACTGTTCTACATACTTCTGTTAAGAGCATTCCTGTGGCTATCTGGTATATGCACACATACGCATTTTCTGTTGGGTATGTACCTAGGAATGCAACTGCTGGTTCATGAGATGTTTTGTATTTTCAGCTATAAAAATACAGCTCTAGTTTACTGCTTTTACACTCCCTCTAGCAGTGTATGAAGATTCTATTTACTCCACATCCTCTGCAACACTTGATATTCAGAGTCATTAAACTGTATTTAAATTTTAAATTTTTTTTTAAAGATTTTATTTATTTATTTGACAGACAGAGACACAAGCAGGCAGAGAGGCAGGCAGAGAGAGAGGAGGAAGCAGGCTCCCCGCTGAGCGGAGAGCCCGATGTGGGGCTCCATCCCAGGACTCTGAGATCATGACCTGAGCTGAAGGCAGCGGCTTAACCCACTGAGCCACCCAGGCACCCCTAAATTTTAAATTTTAATTGTGAGGTATTAACTTCTATTTAAATTCCAGCTATCTGGAGTGTAGTTAGTGGCATTCCACTGCAGTTTTTATTTGCAGTTCCCAAATCACTAATATGTGTTTATTGGGAAATCTTTTGCAAACTGCCTATTTGTGTATTTTGTATATACAACTTCATTGCATTATCTTTTTCTTGCTGATCCATATTTGATACAGTTTATGAACTATAAAAATCTGTTCCCACCCCATGATTTGCACTTTCACTCTCTTGATGATGTCTTTGCTGGGCATAAAAATCTTATTTCAATGTAGTTCAGGTTATCAGTATCTTTTTAGTGATTAGTGGTTTTTGTATTCTAAGAAAAAAAAAAATTTCTTTCTCTATCCCGAGGTCATAAAGATACGCCTCTTCGTTATATTCAGAAGTCTTATTATTTTACCTTTCACATTTAGATCAACTTTTTTAAAGATTTTATTTATTCATTTTTTTTAAAGATTTTATTAATTTATTTGACAGACAAGTAGGCAGAGAGGCAGGCAGAGAGAGAGAGGAGGAAGCAGGCTCCCCACAGAGCAGAGAGCCTGATGCAGGGCTCAAAAAAAACTTTTGATACCTGGTATTTTATTTTTTCAATTAATTTTATTTATTTTTCTAAAGATTTTATTTTTAAGTAGTATCTATAACCAATGTGGGGCTTGAACTTGCAACCCTGAAATCAAGAATTTCATGCTCTTCCAAATGAGCCAGCCAGGCAACCCAATACCAGGTATTTTAAATCTTTCAATTATGTCCCTTTCTTCATTGTTTTTGACATTTTAGACCCTTTACATTATCATACAAGCATCCAAATCAGTTTGTCAGTTTCCACAGAAATGCTTAAGTTTTGATTAGAAGTACATTGAATAGGGGTGCCTTGGTGACTCAATCGTTGGGCATCTACCTTCAGCTCAGGTCATGATCCCAGGGTCCTGGGATCAAGCCCTGCATTAGGCTCCCTGCTCGGCAAGAAGCCTGTTCTCTCTCTCCCCTGCTTGTGTTCCCTTTCTCACTCTCTCTCTCTGTCAAATAAATAAATAAAATCTTAAAAAAAAAAAAAAGGAGTACATTGAATAGAGATAAAGCAAAAAACATACTCTTCTCTGTAGAGAACAGTTGGTTACCAGAGAGGTGGGTGGGGGGAATGGGTGAAATTGGTGAAGGGGTTTAAGAGCACACTTAATTTGATGAGCACTGAGTAATATATGGAACTATTGAATCACTCAGTTGTACACCTGAAACTAATATAACACTGTATGTTAACTACACTGGAATTAAAATTTTAAAAAAGAGAGACGCATTGAATATAAGTAGTTTGGGGGAGAAATGACATCCTCACAATACTGAATCTTTTTATATGAAAGTAAAATATAGTCTTCCATTCATTGAGGTCTTTTTAAATTTCTCTCAATATTATACAGTGTCCCACATAAAAGATTTACTGATCTTCTGAAAGATCATTTTAATGTTCTTTGATGCTAATTTAAATGGTATTTTAAAAATTATATTCTCTGCTTGTGTGTTGCAAGTGCGACATGCAAGTGATTTTTGCAAATTAACATATAACAGTTTGGTTTGCTAAATTAATAAATGTATTTGAATAGTGTGTCTGTACTCTTTGGAATTTTTATGTATAAAATCATGTCACTTGCAAATAGAGACAGTTTCCTTCCTTTCTTCCTTCTTTCCCTCCTTCCTTCCTAATACTTATACCTTTTTGAGGATTTTATTTCTGTAGTCTCTACACCCAATGTGGGATTTGAACTTACAGCAAGATCAAGAGTCACATGCTCTACCTAACCACTGAACCAGCCAGCCACCCCTCCAGTATTTATATCTTTTATTGATTCTCTTGCCTCATCACACTGGGTTATGATAGTTTCCATAGTGTAGTGGTTGGTTATCACATTCGCCTCACACACTGGGTTATGATAGATGGTAGATTAGAATACCATATTGAATTGAAGTAGTGGCAGAAGGCATCCTTTACTTAAACCTGGTATCAAGAGGACAGCCTTCAACATTTCTAAATGAAACATGATGTTTGGGGTAGGATTTTGTAAATATCCTTCTATTCTTAGTTTGTCGGCTTTCTTTCTTAAACTCGTGGATGGGGGTGCCTGGGTGACTTAGTTGGTTAAACATCCAACTCTAGATTTCTGCTCAGGTCATGATCTCAGTGTCATTAGATGGAGCCACTCATGGGGCTGAGTGTGGAGTCTGCTTAAGATTCTCCTTCCTTCAGCCCCTCCCCCACCTGCTCAAGTGTGTGCACTTTCTCTCTTTAAAAAAATATGAATAAATAAATAAAAACATGGATTGATGTTGATTTTTTAAATATTTTATTTATTTATTAGACAGAGATCACAAGGAGGCAGAGAAGCAGGCAGAGAGAGAGGGGGAAGCAGGCTCTCCACTGAGCAGAGAGCCCGACTCGGGGCTTGATCCCAGGACCCTGAGATCATGACGTGAGCCGAAGGCAGAGGCTTTAACCCACTGAGCCACCCAGGCACCCCGATGTTGAATTTTATTGATGAATTTTTTTGGTGTCTATTTGAGATGATCATATGATTGTTCTCCTTTATTCTGTTTATGTTTGTGAATTGCATTCAATTTTCATGTTACACTATCTTGCTTTCCTGGAATAATTGTCACCTGGCCATAATAGATGATCATTTTTAAAAAGATTTTATCTATTTATTTGAGAGAGAGAGAGAGAGAGAAAGAAAGAGAGAGAGAGCATGAGTGGGGGGAAGGGTAGACAGGGAGAGAGAGAATGTCAAGTGGACTCCCCGCTGAGCACAGTGTCTGAGGCAGGACTTCATCTCACCACCCTGAGATCATGACCTGAGCTGAAATCAAGAGTCAGATGGTTAACTGCCTGAGCCATCCAGGCAGCTCTATTATCATTTTTTTTAATCACTGCATTTTCTTTATTAATATTTTGTGTAGAAGTTTTGTGTCTATATAAATGAGAGTTGGCTTCTCTTAGGTCCTTTATTAAGATGTTCTTGCCATTATTTGCTATCAAGTTATAATGACCTCAAAAAATAACTTGGAAAATTTTTCCTTGTTTTCTGAGCTCTAGAATATTATACGTAAGGTTGATTTTATTTCTAAATGTTTGGAAGAATTGAGTAATAAAACTGACAGGCATGGGAATTTCTCTCAAAGGGTTTTACAGATCCAGTTTATTTACTAGATATTAAATAAACTATTTGCATTTTGTATTTCTCCTTGTGGTATTTTGGCAATTTTGGTAAATTATGGCTTTTTAAATCATTTCAACATTTCATTGAAATTACAACCCCCAAAACTGTTATCCTTTTGTTCTCATTTTCTTTTCTTTTTTTTTTTTTTTTTTAAGATTATTTATTTATTTATTTGTCAGAGAGAGAGAAAGAGTGAATGAGCACAAGCAGGGAGAGCAGCTAGCAGAGGGAGAAGCAGGCTCGCTGCTGAGCTGGAAGCCTGATGTGGGACTCAATCCCAGGACCCTGGGATCATGATCTGAGCCAAAGGCAGCTGCTTGACCAACTGAGCCACCCAGGTGTCCCTGTTTTCATTTTCTTAACTATGGAATCCACAGTTAAGCCCCTTCTTTATAAAAATCATTCTTGATATTGGTATTTTATGCATTTTCTTTTTTTCTTGATCTCTCCTCCCAGGGATTTATGAAATTTATTAGTCTTTTAAAATCCTTTTTTAGATTTATTTTCTCTAGCACACGTTTGTTTTATGTTTTATTGAGATATGCTTTTATTTTTATTATTTGTTTATTTTTCTCTCCCTCAGCTTGATTTTTTTAACTAGTGGAAATAGATACTTGGATGATTTATTTTCAGCTTTTTTTTTTTTTTTTTTTTTTGGTGGGTATGAATAAGGAGGGGGCAATGTTGGGGTTTTCATGAATGCAGAGCCTACCATTTGTCCATGGGGCCACAATTCCGGATATATTTGACCCCACAGCCATCTGGGATGAGGCACTTTTTAGCCACTATGTCTTCAAATTCATCTGCACTAAACTTAGTAAAGCCCCAGTTCTTGGAAATATGAATCTTCTGTCAGCCAGGGAACTTGAACTTGACCCTGCATAGAGCCTCAGTCACACGCTCCTTGTTTTGCATCTTGGTACAGATGGACATGATGACTTGGCCAATGTGGATCCTGATCACTGTGCCCTGGGGCTTTCCAAAGGCCTCCACACACGTTTTTAAAGCCTGTGAGCTCCAGCGCAGGATATCTTGTGGGTAACCACGCTGTGGAAAGGGTGGAAATGCAACTCTGATGGGAAAACCATCTTTGCCGCAGCTTTTCACCAGGGACATTTGGCACAAATACATGCAGCCTCCAGGGCTTCAGAGAGCGGATCACATTCATCCGACACCGTAGAGCCATACAGTGAGAACTCATCGACTTTTGCCTTCTTCTGACCCAGGTCAAAATGCAGATCTTGATGTCAGGGACATTTCTGAAGAAGCGAGGCCTCTAGAAGAACTACATATTCTTACAGTACCAGTAACACCCAGCGAGGTGTTAACCCATGGTGAAACCAGGATCTTCAGTGGTGCAGTGAAGAAGAGGTTACTTTCAGCTTTTTACTCCTAAAAAAAGCATTCAAGTATGGCTTTAGCTGTGTTTTGAAAGTTTCGATTAAGGTGAATTTTCACTATAATTTGAAGAAAAATATTTCCTGATTTCCATTTGTATTCATGTTTTAATGTTTGAATTATTATTATTATTATTATTTTAAGATTGTATTTATTTATTTGAGAGCGAGACAGCACAAGCCAGGGGTGGGGGAGAGGCGGAGGGAGAAGCAGACTCTCCCTACTTGGGCCTGATCCCAGAACCCTGAGATAGGATCTGAGCTGAAGTCAGATGCTTAACCGCCTAAGCCACCCAGGCATCCCTAGTGTTTGAATTATTTAGAAGTATATTAAGTGTTTTTCAAAATAAAAAGTTTTTTATTATTACTTTGTTTCATTATTGATTTCTAACCTATCTGTACTGTTGGCAGAAAATATACATTGTATAATTTTACCTTTTTAATATTTTTTAAGATTTCTTTTAGAGTCACCATTTGGTTAATTGACTTAGCATTTGATGTGCATTTTGCATTTTCTGAGTAGAAAGTATGTAAATCAGGTGAACTTTATTGATTCCATTGTTCAAATCTACTATATCCATGTTGAGTTTTTGTCTGCCTCGTATATTAGATACTAGGAGACATCTGTTAAAATTTCACAATGATAATGGATTTGTCCATTTTCCTTTTAGTTGCATCATTATTTTGCTTTATATAGTTGGAAACTCATTATTAAGTGCAACAAATTTACAACTTTAATGTTTTGGAATGATTAACTCTTTTATCATAATAAAATGTCCTTTGTTCATTGCCAACAAACTGTCTTGCCTTACAGTCTAATTTATCTGATAAGTATATAAAATACAGCTATGCTGGCCTCAAATTCTTTTTTCATTCATTTATTTCAGGGTTTTTGTGTTGTTGTTTAGGTGTGTCTCTTTTTTTTTTTTAATTTTATTTTTTATAAACATATAAAATTTTCCCCAGGGGTACAGGTCTATGAATCACCAGGTTTACACACTTCACAGCACTCACCATAGCACATACCCTCCCCAATGTCCATAATAACCCCACCCCCCCAACACCCCTTCCCCCAGCAACCCTCAGTTTGTTTTGTGAGATTAAGAGTCACTTATGGTTTATCTCCCTCCCAATCCCATCTTGCTTCATTTACTCTTCTCCTACCCCCTTAACCCCCATGTTGCATCTCCTCTCCCTCATATCAGGGAGATCATATGGTAGTTGTCTTTCTCCAATTGACTTATTTCGCTAAGCATGATACCCTCTAGTTCCATCCACGTCATCGCAAATGGCAAGATTTCATTTCTTTTGATGGCTGCATAGTATTCCATTGTGTATATATACCACATCTTCTTTATCCATTCGTCTGTTGATGGACATCTAGGTTCTTTCCATAGTTTGGCTATTGTAGACATTGCTGCTATAAACATTCGGGTGCATGTTCCCCTTCGGATCACTACGTTTGTATCTTTAGGGTAAATACCCAGCAGTGCAATTGCTGGGTCATAGGGTAGTTCTATTTTCAACATTTTGAGGAACCTCCATGCTGTTTTCCAGAGTGGTTGCACCAGCTTGCATTCCCACCAACAGTGTAGGAGTGTTCCCCTTTCTCCGCATCCTCGCCAGCATCAGTCATTTCCTGACTTGTTAATTTTAGCCATTCTGACTGGTGTGAGGTGGTATCTCATTGTGGTTTTGATTTGTATTTCCCTGATGCCGAGTGATATGGAGCACTTTTTCATGTGTCTGTTGGCCATCTGGATGTCTTCTTTGCAGAAATGTCTGTTCATGTCTTCTGCCCATTTCTTGATTGGAGTATTTGTTCTTTGGGTGTTGAGTTTGCTACGTTCTTTATAGATTCTGGACACTAGCCCTTTATCTGATATGTCGTTTGCAAATATCTTCTCCCATTCTGTCAGTTGTCTTTTGGTTTTGTGAACTGTTTCCTTTGCTGTGCAAAAGCTTTTGATCTTGATAAAATCCCAATAGTTCATTTTTGCCATTGCTTCCCTTGCCTTTGGCGATGTTCCTAGGAAGATGTTGCTGCAGCTGAGGTCGAAGAGGTTGCTGCCTGTGTTCTCCTCAAGGATGTTGATGGATTCCTTTCTCACATTGAGGTCCTTCATCCATTTTGAGTCTATTTTCGTGTGTGGTGTAAGGAAATGATCCAATTTCATTTTTCTGCATGTGGCTATCCAATTTTCCCAACGCCAATTATTGAAGAGGCTGTCTTTTTTCCATTGGACATTCTTTCCTGCTTTGTCGAAGATTAGTTGACCATAGAGTTGAGGGTCTATTTCTGGGCTCTCTATTCTGTTCCATTGATCTATGTGTCTGTTTTTGTGCCAGTACCATGCTGTCTTGATGATGACAGCTTTGTAGTGGAGCTTGAAGTCCGGAATTGTGATGCCACCAACTTTGGCTTTCTTTTTCAATATTCCTTTGGCTATTCGCGGTCTTTTCTGGTTCCATATAAATTTTAGGATTATTTGTTCCATTTCTTTGAAAAAAATGGATGGTACTTTGATAGGAATTGCATTAAATGTGTAGATTGCTTTAGGTAGCATAGACATTTTCACAATATTTATTCTTCCAATCCAGGAGCATGGAACATTTTTCCATTTCTTTGTGTCTTCCTCAATTTCTTTCATGAGTACTTTATAGTTTTCTGTGTATAGATTCTTAGTCTCTTTGGTTAGGTTTATTCCTAGGTATCTTATAGTTTTGGGTGCAATTGTAAATGGGATGGACTCCTTAATTTCTCTTTCTTCTGTCTTGTTGTTGGCGTAGAGAAATGCAACTGATTTCTGTGCATTGATTTTATATCCTGACACTTTACTGAATTCCTGTACCAGTTCTAGCAGTTTTGGAGTGGAGTCTTTTGGCTTTTCCACATATAGTATCATATCATCTGCGAAGAGTGATAATTTGACTTCTTCTTTGCTGATTTGGATGCCTTTAATTTCTTTTTGTTGTCTGACTGCTGAGGCTAGGACTTCTAGTACTATGTTGAATAGCAGTGGTGATAACGGACATCCCTGCCCTGTTCCTGACCTTAGCGGAAAAGCTTTCAGTTTTTCTCCATTGAGAATGATATTTGCGATGGGTTTTTCATAGATGGCTTTGATAATATTGAGGTATGTGCCCTCTATCCCTACACTTTGAAGAGTTTTGATCAGGAAGGGATGCTGTACTTTGTCAAATGCTTTTTAAGCATCTATGGAGAGTATCATATGGTTCTTGTTCTTTCTTTTATTAATGTGTTGTATCACATTGATTGATTTGCGGATGTTGAACCAACCTTGCAGCCCTGGAATAAATCCCACTTGGTCGTGGTGAATAATCCTTTTAATGTACTGTTGAATCCTATTGGCTAGTATTTTGGTGAGAATTTTTGCATCTGTGTTCATCAAGGATATTGGTCTGTAGTTCTCTTTTTTGATGGGATCCTTGTCTGGTTTTGGGATCAAGGTGATGCTGGCCTCATAAAATGAGTTTGGAAGTTTTCCTTCCGTTTCTATTTTTTGGAACAGTTTCAGGAGAATAGGAATTAGTTCTTCCTTAAATGTTTGGTAGAATTCCCCCGGGAAGCCGTCTGGCCCTGGGCTTTTGTTTGTTTGGAGATTTTTGATGATTGTTTCAATGTCCTTACTGGTTATGGGTCTGTTCAGGCTTTCTATTTCTTCCTGGTTCAGTTGTGGTAGTTTATATGTCTCTAGGAATGCATCCATTTCTTCCAGATTGTCAAATTTGTTGGCATAGAGTTGCTCATAATATGTTCTTATAATTGTCTGTATTTCTTTGGTGTTAGTTGTGATCTCTCCTCTTTCATTCATGATTTTATTTATTTGGGTCCTTTGTCTTTTCTTTTTGATAAGTCTGGCCAGGGGCTTATCAATCTTATTAATTCTTTCAAAGAACCAGCTCCTAGTTTCGTTGATTTGTTCTATTGTTTTTTTGGTTTCTATTTCATTGATTTCTGCTCTGATCTTTATGATTTCTCTTCTCCTGCTGGGTTTAGGTTTCTTTCTTGTTCTTTCTCCAGCTCCTTTAGGTGTAGGGTTAGGTTGTGTACCTGAGACCTTTCTTGTTTCTTGAGAAAGGCTTATACTGCTATACATTTTCCTCTCAGGACTGCCTTTGTTGTGTCCCACAGATTTGGAACCGTTGTATTTTCATTATCATTTGTTTCCATGAATTTTTTCAATTCTTCTTTAATTTCCTGGTTGACCCATTCATTCTTTAGAAGGATGCTCTTTAGTCTCCATGTATTTGGGTTCTTTCCAAATTTCCTCCTGTGATTGAGTTCTAGTTTCAGAGCATTGTGGTCTGAAAATATGCAGGGAATGATCCCAATCTTTTGATACCAGTTGAGACCTGATTTAGGACCGAGGATGTGATCTATTCTGGAGAATGTTCCATGTGCACTAGAGAAGAATGTGTATTTTGTTGCTTTGGGATGGAATGTTCTGAATATATCTGTGATATCCATCTGGTCCAGTGTGTCATTTAAGGCCTTTATTTCCTTGTTGATCTTTTGCTTGGATGATCTGTCCATTTCAGTGAGGGGAGTGTTAAAGTCCCCTACTATTATTGTAGTATTGTTGATGTGTTTCTTTGATTTTGTTATTAATTAGTTTATATAGTTGGCTGCTCCCACGTTAGGGGCATAGATACTTAAAATTGTTAGATCTTCTTGTTGGACAGATCCTTTGAGTATGATATAGTGTCCTTCCTCATCTCTTATTATAGTCTTTGGCTTAAAATCTAATTGATCTGATATAAGGATTGCCACTCCTGCTTTCTTCTGATGTCCATTAGCATGGTAAATTCTTTTCCACCCCCTCACTTTAAATCTGGAGGTGTCTTCGGGTTTAAAATGGGTTTCTTGTAGGCAACATATAGATGAGTTTTGTTTTTTTATCCATTCTGATACCCTGTGTCTTTTGATTGGGGCATTTAGCCCATTAACATTCAGGGTAACTATTGAGAGATATGAATTTAGTGCCATT